CTTTTTTTTTTTTTTTTTTTTGGGGAGGAGGAGAAAAAGAAATATAATCTCTAGGCGGCTATAGTCGGTTTTTTTATTTTTTTTATATAATACGCGGGGTTTTCTAATTTTTTTAAAAAGAAAATAGTATAGCCGCTCGGCTATACGCGGTTTTTTAAAATTTGTTCAAGAGAAATAGTATAGCCGAGCTGCGATACTCGGTTTTTCCTAAATTTTTAAAAGAAATAGTATAGCCGCATGGATATACTCATTTTTTACAATTTTTTTTAAAGAAATAGTAGGCTATACTCGGTTTTTTTTATTTTTTTATTTTTATTTAAAGTATAGCCGTGGACCTCATTCCCCTCCCCCTCTTTGAAACAAGGTTTCCTCTTACAAAAGTAGCTGAAACTCTTCCAGATAACTTTGTTCCCATTTAGGCTGAAATCCCCTGTACACAGAAAGGTAACACAGTCAAAAACTTGGCGGTCATAACAGAGAATAAAAAAAAGGTTTAATATAGAATTGAATGACATGCAGGGGCTTAAGAATGCTATCAAGAAACAAGCAAAGTTACACTCAAAACATGTGAACAGAGGATACATAAGGAAGACATACAGAATGCTTGAGGTAGACAGGGTGTCCATCATCAAGGTCAAACTCCACATCTGGATCCCACACTACCATATCTGCATGGTTCCCAATTGCAATTGCCCCCTGCAAATTTAGAATTCAATTCATCAGCACAATGAGATTCATGTCTGCATGAAAATCTCTAAAACGGAGGAAAAACTGATGATGACATCACCTTCAATTCTTGTCCGGCAAGCCTGGCGGACCTTTTGCAAGCTAAATAAGATATTTCTATGACAGTGGGAAGACTGAATCTCATGAAACAAAAATATGACTGGCATTTGTCATAAGAAAGTCATTGATCCCTGATGGACACATTAAAGACTACAAAAACAGAAAAGGAAAAATTTGTCAGATGAGGATTATATAATGTCCTATTCATCCTGCAAAATCTCTAAACAGAAATTCATCTTCATGGCATTTGTACTATTCTATTAAAACGTGTGCCACTTTCACTTCTTGAATAGTTTACCTTCAAACCAAGAACACCGGCATTTAACAGATCCTCAAGAGCAGACGCATTGAATGTGTTTTCAGGAACAAGACCTCCCCAGAAACCTGCCAACAGTTCGTATGTAAAAACCAGTAGTTCTCAAAAGTTTTAGTATAATGGCATCCCCAAACATATATATAGTTTTTAAGAGGATACCAACATCAATGTAAATTCTGCTCTCTGCGGCCTTAATCTTGAGCTCCAAAGTCTCTCTAGAAACAGTTGATGGATCACTATTTAGAGGCATGTCAACCAATGTAGTAATCCCACCTTGATGGAAATCCTTTCCATTCAGCTCTTCCAGAATCATCAAGATGTGCATGCCTGCAATTAATAAAAACCAAGGCATTTAAATTCCAATGAAACCTTTGTGACTATATAGAAAAAGACACAATGAGAAAATTTATTGTGGTATGTTACACATCAATCAAGCCAGGCATGACAACAGCTTCTCCATAATCAATTAAATTCTCCAACTTGGCTTTTCCATGCTTTTCTTCTTCTTTAACAATGGAGGCAATCTTCCCCTCCTTTACCTCAACTGCTCATTTACACATTTCATAAATGAAACAAAATCAACCATTTGGTGCCAAAACAATAATATAGAGCTGTAATGTGGTTTCTAAAATGTACAACGGACAATTGTCCAATTCGAAACTATTGTTTGCACATGCCTGCTCCATAAATGACCCTGTTAGGCATCACGATGTCCTTGCTGGTTATCCAGTAATGTTGGTAAGTAAGCAGGCTGCAGTTTTCTGATATTGCTGTAAAATAGAAAGTAAATTAAAGTCCATTATGACACTCAAATTGCAATGCAGAGCCAAAACAGAGGAAGTCAAATACTCAGTAGAATTCATAAACAAACCAGCAAACCTACAACTTCTTTGTTGACGGGTTCTTCACCATCATCTACACAGAAATATGCTCATGCGTATACAGAATGCATTGGTATATACGCAGGAATTTGTTCATGCAAATTGGAATGTTTTTTGTTTGGTACAACTTTCAACATCATTAAAAATTTGTAGTAATAGTTGAGGCACTATAGAATTCAAAAACGAATTCAGAGAGCAAATTGACATTTAGATAATAGTTTAGGTTCACAATTTAGTGTATATTATATCTTCATTTCACGTAGAGAAAGTAATCCCATTAAAAATTCTTGTGGATATTATATTATTGAAACAGATTCATTATCCATTGATCAATTGGTTAATAACTCAAAGCATAAAAGAAACAGAAATTAGCCAGGCAAATAAACACTTTAAGAATCAAAACATTACATTGCAAATGCCTCAATATCTTTTCTTCTATCAAAATCACATTTTGCAAAAGTTCAGTACTTTCTCTTGTGCAACTTTTCTATTGTGTAATCTATCCCCACTCATTTGGATCAGATGGGCAACCTTTCATTAGAGTTCCTATGTGACGAAAACCACGAGCCCTCCCTTCAAAGTAGATATGTGGTAATAGTGGCCAGTTAGAATACTTTTGTATCCCCTCCATGACTTCATTGTCCGTAAGAAGATCAAAACTTCCAAATTCAACCTCATGTCTCTTCAACATGTTAACAGCCATTTTGCTAAATTCACATTTGGGATCCTCAGGGGTTCCTTTCATGAAAAGCATGACTCGATTAGAGTCAATCAGCTGTTGCAGCCGCCTTTTCAAGGCATCATCAAGGCCATCTTGCGCTTGAATTTGCTCTTGGGAAGATTCATTTTCTTTTGTCAACTCTGTAGCAGGTTCTTCAGGCTTAACTGCAACTTTATTAGCCACACTAGATGGATCTGCACCTTCTAATGTATCAGCCACCTTTCAATCCTGCCAAGAAACAGCACAAACAAAAAATATGACCAAGAGACGTTCTAATTCGATCAAAGTTAAGCGTTCTATTGCATGTGACATCTAAACACCTCAAGTTGCAGTACAATAAAGAAAACCACCATCTAAAATTCTCTCAGATTTAGTAAATCACTTTTTGAGTGGATAGTCGTTCGAATTGATGAAGGTTTCCTTTAATATCTGAAATTCACATCGTAGTTTTTTTTTTTTTTTAATGTTTGTCTTGTTGTTTTTGTTTTTGGATTGGCTGGAGAGAGAAGAAAAGAGAATCCTCTTTTTTGTTTTTGTTTTTTTATGTTTGTATTGTTGGGGTAAAGTTGATGGGCTTTTGTTTTTTGGTCTGAAATTTACTGGGTATCTAGGTATTAAACAAACAAAAGATACCTAGTTAAACAAACAAAATGATACCATTGAACTTCTACCACCCACTCTAACAATTTGAGTTTGGCATCACAACCTGAGCCTGTCAATAGTTAAATCTCATTAAAAACAACATTCATACTGCCACTATTATCATATACTTATCAATAATAGTAAACCCCAAAACTCAATTTCAAACTAAAGACCCCATATTCACATAACTTGATTATTCAAACAAAACACCAACACACACGCAAAACACCAGAAAATAAACCCAGTTCGAGATGAGAAGTGGACAAATACCTCGTCCATGTGCTTCGAAGCCTCACACCTCGAGGGCCAGACCACCTTCTTGGATTGCGAAGCCTTCATTGATCCACCCATAGATAATGGAGTCTTTCAAATTCTAAACCCTAAACGAGCAAAAACAAAGAGAGAGATGGAGACAAAAAAAGAAAAGACAAGACTATTATATATAAAGGCAGAGGCATAATTTTGAGAAACCTTTTTCTTTTTCCCAAAGAATTTAGGGAAACTTTCAAAATACCAAGAAATATTCTTTATTAATTAAATTTTTAAAACAAGATAACTTGATTAATATGAAATAAAATGACAAAAAAGTTAAAATATCGTAGTGGGTACTTTTTTATTTTATTTTATAAAACTTTCATTCCTTACTTCTTATTTTTATATTTTAAAAACATATTCCTTCCAAAAACAGATTTTACATTTCAAATAAAAATTATATATCCCTTCCAAAAATATATTCACGATAGTGAATATTGATTTGTGAATTAAAGATCGACCAGAAAACAAAAAGATTTGTGACTTAAAGTTGGGCATATTTTCGTCCCAAAAAAAAAAGTTGGGCATATGGGTATTTTAGTCTTTTGGGCCTGATAGAGTGTCAACTGGACTTAGGGCTCCTACAACACTGGGGCTGATAGAGTATCGTCCAGGCTTACAAATTTTGGGGATTGAGAATTAGAGAGAGGTAAGAGATAGACATTGTAACCAAATAAAAAATAAAAAATTCCTAGCCAAATGAACCATTCACTGCGTGCATTCATTTGTATCTTTATGTGTGGTCTCCCAATCTAACAACACGACAACATAATTTATTTGTTTTTTTATCCTTTTTAAATCAAATACAAATGTTGGATTTGATAAACTCTAATCAATATTTGATTTGATTAATTAACGAATTAAGGAATTGGGATCATCGGATTTAGAGATATCCCTAATTAATAAGGAGCAAAACATTTTTCTATTATTATAGTAGGATATGACATTTGTTGTTTACCTGAGTGAGGGAAGTTTCACAATTTATCATTGACATATTGGTCCAAAATGTCGTCGTTTCGATCTCATTTACATATGATAGCTAACGAGAATGAATGAATTCAACAAACACCTAGTCCTTTATGCGAGCCATAAGCTTATAGTAATTGGCTATATATCGTACGATAACAACTAGGTCACCAATTATGACATGATTAAACTGCAGAACAAAAAAAGCATTCCTGGAGACCTAGATAGAAGAAATTGAATCGTTAAATTTCTTGGCATTTTTTAAGCTAATGCTTTGGCAGTGGCACTGTGTAGGTATATGGTTGTGGCATGCTCCAGAAGCTTGCTCTGCTCCATAATGTTTTAAGCTTACTGTAGTTCAGAGGTTGTCGATATCATATGCATGCATGACACTGCAACCACTTGGCCCCGCCTTCCCTTTTTCTATGTGTCCGATTTTATTATTATTTGACTTGTCTTCTATTACAACTATTAATATCTTTGAATGTATTTCAACTCGATCCTTATTCTTCTTAGGATAATATGGGGAAGGTAGCCAGCCTAGTCTCTTCGACAGTTAACTCATTGTAAAGTGTTATAAACCACGGATGTGAAAACTCATTATAATATATATTACTAAACTTTTCCATTTTACATTTGTTATTTTACCAAGCCATCATTCAATTCAAATCGTGATCATTCATGCCTAGTTGTTTAGCAAGTCTTTAAATTAAAATAAAGTATACTAACCCCATAAGAGAAAAACAAAATCATAAGATAAAAACCAGTTCAAGCATAAGAATGTAATAGACCATGTGATGCAAATTGCAATTCATTTGCGATAAAAACAATACACGATGTAGACATCAAAATGATAAGATGCATGACATTTATGGCAAACAACATAAAGAGCACTTCTTTCTTCTTTGCTTCAACTCTAGAGTACAATTAAGGGCAAATATCGACCATAAAAGAACGAGAATAAGGGTCGAAAGTAAAATCAGAATTCGGCTCGAGTTCCGGGCACTCAAATTCCATGTGTTCACCTCGCTTCCCACATATAAAACAATCCTTGAGAAGTGCACGTCCTAGGGTTATGCCACAATTAGCACAACGTGAGTCTCTAAAGAAGCAGCCACATACAAGACATGTAACCACACAACTCTCGCCAACAATTGCGTTCTCTGGGACCTCATCAATGTAAGAGCATAGTTCTGTATGGTGGTCATCCACCTTTAAACAATACTTACATTCACCTGTGTGCAATTAGTAGATCCATTGTTAAATACAATGAAAACAATAAAAATACTTCTTTTTTAACACAATAAATGAATGAAGATGATAAAACCCAAAAATCAGTATTATGAGCACATTACATAAAATAACAACAAATACATAGATATTATGTCATAAGAGAGAAAAAAATGTAAATATAGAAGGTGCATGCACATCTTTTTTGTCCCTAAAATCCAAAGCTTACCAATAAGATTAGGACGGAAGAGGCTATCGCTTACCAATAATATAGTTAGACTATCGCTTCTGTTTTAAACAAATCAAAATCAAAATCAAAAGCATACCAATTTCTTCATCCTCTGATTCTTCAGTCTCTGATTCTGCGGTCTTTGATTCTGCAATCTCTGATTCTGCAGGCTGTGGTTCTTCAGGCTGTGGTTCTTCAGTGTTGCTCCCTGTTTCCATGCAATTACATTGTGAAATACAAAATAAAAAAAAGGTGATAATGCAAAGAAGTTATAAGGAATAACATCAATGATCCCATCAACAAATAACTATATTATTAAATATTGGTTATACATGATGCAAACCCCAAAATAACTTTGCTAGAGAAATCATCTTTTTAACATACTAGTTGTTTTAAACATGACATAGAACAACTACAAATGCATAGATATTATGTCATAAAATAGAGAACGTACATATATATTTTTCTTTCTTATCTCTAAATTAGAGAGCATAGCAATAGAATTAGGAAGGCGGAGGCTAGACTATGGCTTTTATTCACACACACACACACACAAAAAACATACCCTTAGGACTAGGAGGGCCCTGGAACAGATAAAAATAAGAATTACTATGAAGTTCTTTAAGAATTTCTTCTTTCGTTAGTTTTGTAGTCTCTGGTTCCGTCTTTAGTTCTTCGGCCTTGCTATCTGACAAAAAAGGAAGAAAAAAAAAGAGTAAGAGAATGGGTTATGATGTCGAAGAAGTTAGAAGGAATAATATCTATGATCCCACATCAACAAATAAATACCGGCTATCCCCAAAATAACTTGGCTGGAAAAATCATCTTTAAAAATTGATTAAATTTTTTGGCATAATATATATCCTCTAATTACAACAAAAGAAATAAAATAAAAACAACACTTTCTTTTTTCCAAACCACACAAAGCCCAAGCAAATTTCATATAATCTTCCTCAGAAACCCTAAAAACAAAAATCAAGAGCACTAGCACATAAGAGAGGATATATAATAGAACAATATGACTGAGTGGAGGAAAGACAAAAAATTAAATATTTTCAATGTAAAAAGATAATTTTTCATACACAAAAGTTGTGGCATAAAATTAATTTAAAGCTCAAGGTCAAGCAATTCAATTGCAGATAGTCTTGGTCACCCTTGAATTAAAAGAAAAAGGAAAAGCATACACACTGATTATTGACGTATCGCAGTTGAGAGGGGCCATAGCTGGCTAGAAAAGGTCCTTTCCGCATACGTTGTCCATGGCTGTGTAGAGCTTGGTGTTTGGCTTTGCGGTTGTGAGAGAAAAAACGACTGGCGGTTGGGTGCAGGATGAATTGTGAGAGAAAGAAAGAACGGCGTTTCTTTCTTACATGTTATATAGGCGGTTTGAATTGATTGAATAACCGATCATATTATGAACATATTAATCAATATTATTTTTTCCATTTCAGTCTTGATTAAATAATAAATTATCATTAAAAACTATTAGACCCCAATGCACGCATTTTTAATAAGCAGGGCATTAATTTCTAGTTTTGATTTTCCGATTTCGTTTGGGATTTTGGTTTTCTGAATTAGAGCAGGGATATTTTTGGTGATTTTGAGTCCCAAATAAAGGAAGTTAATTAATGTGGTTTTTCCTTTGTTTTACCTTTCTTGTTTTACGTTTCCTTTTATTTTCAAGTTTGTGCTAATACTTCCGAAATTTGTGAGTCTTGTTTGTGACTCTTGCATATATACTTCCAATCCAATCCAATCCCTCCGTCCTCCTTTCTTTCCATCTCCTCCTAATCTGTTGCATGCGTAAGTATCCTCACAAAAATATTTTACTTCTTCTGAATGTTTTGTTTGTATATCTCTTATTACTGCATCTTGAATCTTGATTGTCTATATGTTAAATTTACCCGTATTTTAACCTCCTTTATTTGTCAGTTTTTAGTTCATAGAACTAGTCACCGAATAATGTAATGGAAAAATCTAGTCTCAAGTCAAGTAAGCATTTCTTATTGGGCTTATTTGGGTGGTTTTGTTTCATTTCTCTATTGCTTTAACTGGCCTCAATCTTCTTCTTCTTCTAACAGACCTCGTAAGCTCTGTTAACTTTGAAGCAAAATAATAGAACTTTCATTATTGTACCCATGTGAAAGTCTACAAATCCCATAACCTCTTCTAATTTTTATTTCAAAGGAAATCTGTCTTTTTTTTTTCTTTTTTTTTTTTGGGGGAGGAGGAGCAGGCAGTTTTTTCAGAGCATCTCATCCCCTGTCCTCGGTAATTCCTTGATTACCATGGAAACAAAGTTTTCGCCAATAACTTCTTACAAAATTTCTGATTTCACATATGAACAGAGGAAAAAAAAAAAAAATAACTGGCCTCAATCTTCTTCTTCTTCTAACAGACCTCGTAAGCTCTGTTAACTTTGAAGCAAAATAATAGAACTTTCATTATTGTACCCATGTGAAAGTCTACAAATCCCATAACCTCTTCTAATTTTTATTTCAAAGGAAATCTGTCTTTTTTTTTTTTTTTGGGAGGAGGGGAGGATAAGAAATATAATCTCATCATCAAGCAGTTTTTTCAGAGCATCTCATCCTTGTCCTCGGTAATTCCTTGATAACCATGGAAACAAAATTTGTCATCTAATTCAGAGATTATCCCCAAAATTTGTCCCGAACACTAGCCTATTGGCAGTGAGACTCACAAGTGTATTCCCATAACAGACACAGTTAATGGTTTCAATGTTTCCACAACACATTGTTTACTTACTCCAATTTCTGTCACAAACTGACAAGAGGAACACCTGATGGATGAAGCTCCATATGGATACATCAGAAACACTGCACGACTACCACATTTAACTTGTCCAACCTGATCAACTGATAAAAGAAGATTGAGTTTTAAAAAAATATAACATAGTTCCATCATGACAGTAATTGCGTAACTATTGCACACTATTGTATAAACGATGACTCGATTTTAAGTCCATTGGCACTTGTGGTTTAGTGCTGAACTATTGCACACTGCATATGGACCTTCGAAATTGCAGAACACATTTTTCAAGAAAAAGAATTGATTGCATGACCCTAATCAACTCAAAAGATTAGGTCTACATATTCTATATTTCATGTCAGTTTAGATCACACATTATTGTGGGGTCATGCACTGCTTCTTTGAATGAAGTTCAATGCAACTGCAGTCTCTGTTTCTCCTTTTACATTGTTATCAAATTTTGGCAATACTTGCGCTAGGTGTACAGTATCATCACAAGATTACATGAAGTAAGAAAACCTGCAACAATTTTGGAAAAGGAAAAAGAGGAGAGAATGAGACTGAGAACGTTGCTTACTAGGTACACTAAGTATCTAAGTGAAAGAGGAAGAGAGAAGAACCTTGTAGCACAAAGTTGACTATTTGACAGCATGAGCATTGAACATGCCTGGCTCCTCGTGGATATATTTAAGCAGGCAGCGGCAAGAACCACAAACCATTTGAGCTAATTCTGCATCACAATTAGATAGCTCATCAGGCAAGAAAACCTTTCACTATGTATAAAACCTGAGATGAAGGCTCTATGGAACATTCTTCTGAGGAATCTAAAGATCAACATAATACATTTAGTAATTCAGCAGTCCCAAAAATCAGTATTGCTGCTGGCCAGATGTAGGCACTAGTACTGTATAATTTCTAGTACAAGGGGTCGAATTAGATATTGCAGGAGATTTTTTCCTGATTGAATAATAAATTATCTTTAAAAACTAATAGACCCCAATGCAGGCATCAATGACGTCTTTAATAAGCAGGGAATTAATTTCTAGTTTTGATTTTCTGATTTCGTTTGGGATTTTCGTTTAATCAACTAGAGCCTACCGTTTCAGTAATTTTTTTGTTGTTTTTACAAACAAAAGGGTAAGTTGTTTATTGATTTACTTGAGGTTCAAGCACGGAAAGTTTTAGTTTAGATTTACTTCCTAAAATAACAACTCAGCTCTTATAAAAGAATGGCTGCCGCTGTTGAACCTTTTCAAAACTTACAGAACAACTTATCTTTATTTTTCAACAGCAAATTGATGATTGTAGCCGAGTTGAACTTTTGTTTTGCAATATGAATGAGGCATACTTGAAGAAAACCAGCCAAAAATTGAAGGTTTGTGACATTACCGCTATTCTTTTTTCTATCATACGTATTTTTTTTATATAGTTAAATCTATTATACGTACTTGGGCATCCATATCTCTTGAACCCAATTTCTATGTGCCCTCCCTGTCCCCCTACCTATGTTTTTGTCATCTGCCCATCTAGCTAACCAACTAATAACTCTCTTAAATCATTTAATAAAATTAATATAATATATTATTTCCTATCCCTTCACTTTCCCAGCCCATCAACTTAGTACCGTCGTTGAGCAAAGCTTGCGCTTGGACCTCCTCATCAAACGAATTTTGTTGCAGTTGAGTTTTTCTTTCAAAACTTGGACCTATTGGGTTTAAACTTTTGAACCATGGCTTGTTCGATTTTGTGGTCTCTTATTCGTGAGTTTTTTAAAAAGAATTTTAAATAAGATATTCCTCAATATTATAAGTTGTGAATCCAATAAATTTATCCTAATCAATAGCATGAGAATTCAATCAAAATTTAGTATATAAATCTTATGAACACAAAAACCCCAAATATGTCTCCTTTGGTTTAGTCATCTGTTTTATGTTTCTTCTTCCTATCGGTTTATTCATCTATTTTATGTTTCAGTTGCTTCATCTGTACTTGGTTGAGACATATTCTCATCTTTTTTTTTCTTATCTTTTTTTACCCAATAAATTTCAAATTCTTATTAGGAAGAAAGATGGGGCACAACAAACATCGCTTTTATCGCTAATGAAGGTTGTGACGCAATATATGTTGGTGTCGATTCGAGGAGTACATCTAGTGAGAGTAAAGGATTCATAGTACGAGAGGATTCAGACAAATTTTTACATATGAAGAGTTGCAATGTATTTGCAATTAGGGCGGGAAATGCCGATAATGGTCGTGAAATGTTAGCCAATCTGGAAGAGTACTTTAGCAATCGTGCAGAAATAGTCAATGGCATCCATGATGCACCAGAAGAAGCCATGAAATATATTCAAAGCTGGGAAAAAATATTGACAGAGGAATTATTTAAAGGGTCTACTAGTAGATTGGTACGGGAAGACTTTAAAGCATCTACTATTATGGTTGGATGGGGTGCGGATCAAGTTCCTTATGTATATCTGTTGTGAATTGAGCACAAAACTCAACTCACCCTCCCCTAATGATCTTGTTGTTGATGGACTTTGTGACACACACAATGATGGATGAATCACACACACACACTTGAGAAACCAACCAAGCACAAAGTGACACAAGTATTTAGAGGTTCAGCAAATGCCTACATCCTCTTGGTGATCCCCTTGAGAAATTCACTTCATGAAAGAATAAGTTACAACTTTGGTTTTACACAGAAAACCCCCTTAGAACTCTATTCTCTCCCCAAGCTCTCTTTTCTCTCACACCCCTTTGCTCAACACTTTGATACACTTGTGAACACTCTCACAACCCTTGGTGTTTCCCCCCTTTGGTGTCTAGACTTTCAAGACTACAACTCAGCTCCTATCTTGAACTGATTGCCCTCTCTTTATTCCTCTCTTGGTGAGATAACCTCCATATGCACACAATAGCTCCCAGCTACTTGACAACTTTGAGATTAACCACACTATTGTTGTTTTGCTTCCTCTTCCCTTTAATACACAAGCCTTTGGACTTAGGAGAAGGCTCCACCTTTTCCTCCCACATTCTCCCCTTGGTTTCCAGACTTGGACCACAGCTTTGGCAGAACAAAGGCTAGGCATTGATAGCTGCAACTTCAGCCACCCTATCTAGAGCTATAGGGTAGGTACTCTTTGAAACAA